TTAAAATGGACAATGAAGATTTTCATGGTTCAGTTATAGTTTGCCTTATAGATTTAATTTTGACTAAACACTTATGCATCAGAGGACTTAAGTAAGCCCCTGTTCTACAGAGCTATTTTTGACGTTAAGATAAACATAGATTGAGGTGACATTGCTCTGGCCAAGAAGTGGTGTCCCTCAACTCTGTTCTTACATAAAGTCAAATGGGCATTAGATGAAAACTAGTCTTTTGAGTTGTGTACTTTCTGAAGACTAATTTAACTTCATTTGGCCTTTGAGAATTACATACATATAAAAAAAATCAGTAATGTTAAAAAACAAGCAAGTAGAGGAATCGTAATTTGATATGCAATAACTGCCTCAACTCTAACTACTTTAATTATAGGGAGTCAAACGAGATGCAGGGAATCCAAACTAAAAGGCAGAAGAAATCCTTAATACTTCACTCAGAAGGGAGTGATTTAGCAGCCCTCCCATTTCCTGCAATGTGGAGGGATGCAGAGCTGTAAATCCCACGCTCCCGCAGACTCTGCTTTTCCTAGAGGACTCACCCCCGTGGCCTCTGTCCTAGTGCTCCTTCTCCGGGGCTGGGAATGCTGCTCCCTCACGGCACCTCCGCATCCACATCCTCCGGGAAGCCTCGCTGCTCCAGCACGACGACTGCCTTAAAAATCACTTGCAAAAAACATGTTAACCGTGTTGAAACTGAAGGCCTGGTCAGGCTTTACATGAACAGACTCACTGGTCTAGCATCTGCTTTCACTACTCACAGGTCAGTGATTTTCCTAGTAAACTTTACGGATAAGGTGGGCAGTTTCAATGCCTGTATCAGCTCTCAGTTTTGCTATTACTGAACATAACTATCCTAACAGCGTAGGAAAAAAAAAAAAAAGTATGGTTTTAATTAGGATCACTTATATTGAGCCCCAGCACAGGTTAAGATGTGAGGCTAAGAATGAGGTAATTATTTGAAAATCACTTCCCTTTGCCTTTTAAATTCTATGTCTGAGAACTTGTGAATTCACCTTTTCTTGCATTATAAAACAGTAATGAATCATTCTCCATTCCCAAGCTACGTATCACCCTCCTCAGTTTTCTCTTCGGGATGAGGAGTCCTGTTCTACTTAATCTTCCCTCGGACAGAATAATTCTTTGTTTGTTTCTGTAGGCCTTTTAGAAATTCCCCAGTATACATATTCTGAGATGGGTAACCAACATTTGACCCTGATCCCATCACTATTTACTGATTAGTGATTTCTAAGAGCCCAGCGTTTTCTCAGCTGACATTTCCAGACTCCTCGCAATTACACCCACATTTCTCTTAATTCGTAGTCTCTATTTCAGAGCGTGGCCTTTGCACCTAAACACACATTTGCACAGCCAGGGCCATGGCATCCTGCAGACAGCCACAGCTCAGGTACTTCAATCTGCAAGGACCTTCTGTAGCACTTTGATACCAGCTTTAAAGTTTGGTATTTTGAATAATTTTCCTCTGCAAGTTCTCACTAACCTTAGAGCAAACACCTTTGCCACATTTTTTTTTTCTGGCAGATCCAATATTCATAGCGCACCTAGTCTAAGCTAGTGAATTGATAAAAAAAAAGCATAGGAAAGGAATAAAAACGGTGTAGAAAATCTAAAAAGGCAATACAGACCTCCATGGTTTCCAGCAGCACAAGAAAAATAGGCCTTAAAAACCCCAAGGCTATACCAATTTTAAAGTTTAATTTCTTCCCAAGGATCTTCAGAGACTAATTTACAAATTAACTTCAAGAATGTTCTCATAAATTTTTTAAAGAGCCCCAAATAAATATCTGAAAGTGTCATTTTCTCCATGGAACATTGTTTTTGGTCCTATTTTGGTATTTTTCCTTCAGTTAGACATACCAAATATTTAAAGAAACATTAGAAATATTCTGGACCAACTCTTCTGCTGATACAAAAACATGTAGCTTCCCTGATATAAACAGAGCCATAATAATTTATATGAGCTGTAGAAATTTCTCTTTCTAAATTCGGTTCTGCCAGACTGTTTTGTATAAAGAACTCTGTAAAATGTTAGATGATCCAAGACATGTTTAATATCAGTATCTCAGTTATGAGTATCTTGGAATATTTATTCAAAATATTCCAAGAAGACATCCCTAGAAAATATTTTGGAATAAATAAATAACAAAGCCATAAATCCTGACCATGTACCACGCAGGATTTTTTAAGAGGAAGGAGATGCAAGCAGTGCTTTTTGCTATTGGCAAGGTAGATCCAATAAAACAACTGCTAAAGAAGCGCTTCATAAATTTGGTAATTGAGCCTTCACGAAGATGTACTTTAATTAATGCCTTAATAATAATCGATTAACTTTGCATTTCTCATAGCTTTACCATTTCAGTCTGAGGAAACGTGGGACAGCAGAAGCTTCCAGAAAACAGAGCCCCTGGTGGGCGCCGAGGCCTGCGCTCCTCCACCTCGGCCCCTCGCCCTGGTCTCCTCCTCGCGAAGCCTCTGCTAAAAACAGACTTTGACCCTTGGGTAGGAATAATCAACATGGGATAGGGAAGAGCTGGCTAGTAACGCTCCTGGGATCAGGTCTGCTAAGAGGAGACAAAGAAGGGTGGAGAAAGCAGAAATTAGGGATTGCCATGTGGACATGTTAACAGGATCACGCTGTGGTGGCAAAGGAGTGATCTGTAGCCATGGATGCAGCCACGGATGCAGGAGAGAATCCCGTTGCTCCTCTTGTCATCTCATTGAGGTTATAAGTACCTCAAGGGAGGCAGTGAGGAGGATGGGGCTGCCTCTTTTCACTGGTGGCCACCGACAGAACTAGAGGAAATGGCCACAAACTGAGGCACCAAAAGTTCCACAGGAACTTAAGGAAAAATTTCTTCCCAGTGAGGGTGCCAGAGCCCTAGAACAGGCTGCCCAGAGAGGTTGTGGAGTCTCCTTCTCTGGAGATCTTCAAACCCGCTTGGACGCAGTCCTGTGCCACGTGCTCTAGGTGACCCTGCGTGTGCAGGGGTTGGACTAGATGATCTCGAGAGGTCCCTGCCAACCTTCAGCATTCTGTGATCCTGTGATTGCTGTGTGTTTTCCTAGATGGGTCCAGCTTGATTAGAGCACTCCAGGAAGAGCAAGAAAGACAAATACGTTAGAAGAGAGGAAGATGTGGGAATGGAGCCTGTCTAATATACAGCAGAGAGGGCCAACGCACGCTCGGAGGGTTGTTCTGCAGATGTAAAGGTCACCTGCAACGAGAGGGAAACCGTCCTCCATGTCAATGGAGGCCATGGGATGGAAGACACACACCCTTCGTGGGGAGAGCTCCTTTGGAATTCCAAGCAGGAAGGCTGGTTAAAACCTGACTAGTCTGCCTGAAGAAGCAGCCTGTGAAATCCACTTCTAAATTGAGGTTATAAGTACCTCAAGGGAGGCAGTGAGGAGGATGGGGCTGCCTCTTTTCACTGGTGGCCACCGACAGAACTAGAGGAAATGGCCACAAACTGAGGCACCAAAAGTTCCACAGGAACTTAAGGAAAAATTTCTTCCCAGTGAGGGTGCCAGAGCCCTAGAACAGGCTGCCCAGAGAGGTTGTGGAGTCTCCTTCTCTGGAGATCTTCAAACCCGCTTGGACGCAGTCCTGTGCCACGTGCTCTAGGTGACCCTGCGTGTGCAGGGGTTGGACTAGATGATCTCGAGAGGTCCCTGCCAACCTTCAGCATTCTGTGATCCTGTGATTGCTGTGTGTTTTCCTAGATGGGTCCAGCTTGATTAGAGCACTCCAGGAAGAGCAAGAAAGACAAATACGTTAGAAGAGAGGAAGATGTGGGAACGGAGCCTGTCTAATATACAGCAGAGAGGGCCAACGCACGCTCGGAGGGTTGTTCTGCAGATGTAAAGGTCACCTGCAACGAGAGGGAAACCGTCCTCCATGTCAATGGAGGCCATGGGATGGAAGACACACACCCTTCGTGGGGAGAGCTCCTTTGGAATTCCAAGCAGGAAGGCTGGTTAAAACCTGACTAGTCTGCCTGAAGAAGCAGCCTGTGAAATCCACTTCTAATTATTATTCCAAAGAAACAAGTGCCACAATGGTATAGACAGAGATGATCTACCCTGCTCTGGGGAGAACAGTGGACTAAATGGTCTGGTAATTTTAGCATGGCATTCCAGTGTATTAAATATTGCCATATCTATTTTTAAAGATTTGAATATGCTATATGGAAAAAGAAAAACATGCCTGAAATTATTTGGACACAAACTTTTAACCACGGACTTTATTGAGACACCACCGGTTATGGAAAAGTAATGTTTATTTGTAAAGCACCACAGAACAGAAATTTTAGAAAATAATATCCAACTATTCATACAATGGCCCTGATTTCTACACAATGTTCTGGCAGCTAAACAAGAGAGATTATCAGCAATCATTAGATATTTATTTTATAGCAGCATTTTTTTCTGTATTTCCTTTAAAATTCTGTGCGACTGGAAATGGTTAGAAGATAATGCTTTTATGTAAACCAGTAACTTATAAAAAAAACTTTTAAAAAGCTTTAAAAATATTTCACATCTCTTTGCGTATCAGCACCAAAAACAATATTTTGCAATACATTTTAAAATAAAGACAGAATGGTGTAAGAAATCTTGCAAACATAAAAAGTATTCCAAATTAAGAAATAAAATCCCTTTATCTGCCACCATAGCCAATGAATTGCAGTTTATGAGGAAGTGAGTTTAATACCTGATCACCAGAAAATAAATCAGTTTTAGCTTTATTTAACATAATCCCTTGATCCCCCCACTCTTCCAAGCAATGCAGAAACATGTTTTTCAAGAGTTTCTTTCATGCCAAATGGAAACATTCAGCGATTGCTTTCTTTCTCCTTGCCTGAAACAAGTTAGGTAAGTACTGGACATACCTTTGGGGAACTATAACTTTTTGCAATATACCAATATCGTCTTCTGGACGATTTCAGCAGAAACAGCAATGTCCTACAAAACGTCCTAAGATGCAAGCTTCCTTACCAGGGATTTTATTTGAAAGTAGCACCATCTACTGGTCTAAATGATGCTTTCAAACTTTAGAAAAAGCTGTAGAGAGGGATCCAGCCAAAATGATGCAAAATGCTACTGTGAGTAACAGGTAGTTTTTCAGGCCCTGGATAACCAAAGGGAGAGAAAAAGAAAAATGTTATGTTGCTATAACACTTCACAAAGGGGTCCAATATAGAATTAGAGCTCCTTTTAAAATTATATATGATTATGATTACAATGACTTATGATTTTTATGATTATAGGATGATGTTTTATGATTATACACTTGTTACATGAAATGGTAAGTTTTGTTTCATGTTATTTTTATACAACGGAAGTGTTATTTTTATACAACGGATTTGTTTCTTAAAAGAGTTCATTACGAGTAACTGATGCAGCCATAGATGTATTAACAAAATATCACAAAGTTAACTTACTTTTGGTACTTGCAAAGGAATTTCATCCTATTTTGAGCATTTTTAAGCACTAAACACTCATGTCCACACTATGTTAAAAAATACGGAAAGGATGAAAGATGTCACAAAGATTTGGAAAGGAACACGATGGTTTTCTAGTGGGCGTAGCAGTGGCAGAGATAACAACTTCTACTCCCTACTCCAGGGATGTCCTGCATGTCCTGCATTTCACACCATCACCAAAAACAGGGGATAAGATAACCTACAATGGCACGTTAGGAGTCCAGGAAGCCTGGACAGACAAACTGAGGGAGCCCGAGGACTGCACACCTAGTGTTTGATGCTGAAACTCCACGAGAAAAACAATTTGTACGACGTATATTAACACGCAGTAGACTAGCCTGTTCTGCACTGTCACTCATAGATCTTCTGGGAACCTCTGCATTACGCAGTAACCAGAAGGGCTCGTTAACTTCTGCCTTTCTTTTTTGGTCCTTTGGTGACTTTGACCCTGTAATCCACTGGGCTGTGTGATTCTTGCAACAACTGCTCATTCTGCTACCCTCACTGAAGGAAGGAACTCGGCTCCAGGCTATGCTCAGCGTCCTGCCTCCTGCCTCTCCTGACTGCCTTCACTGGCTCCCACTGCTGCACACGCACGTGGGGAATTCAGGTCTTCATTTCTGCAAAACTTCATCAAACAAGATTCCTTGTCTTTCTGGAAGCCTTAGTACTGCATGGCAATAGTCTTTTACTGTCATAATCTAACATATGTAAGGAGGAGAAATCTCAGAGAACCAGCTCTGTACCAAACCATGATGTTCTTAGAGCGAGATACAAGCAGAAGAAAAAGAACAGTGAGATATATAATAGTGATATATAATCACTATAATAGAGATATATAATAGTGAGATACAGTAGTGCATTACCTTGATTTCTTTGAATACAAGGACTCCCCACATTGCAGCGACAAGGCCGGGACCCTAAAAAGTAAGATTCACTTGTACATCACAGTATTTCCTTAAATTGTTCCATCTTCTCATTATGCTTTTCAGGTTTGATGTATATGGCCTCAATGGCAAATTTAGACCTTTCTATTCTGTATAATTACAGGGCTCATGACAAAAGCATAAAAGTCACTAATACCTTCATGAAAAAAAGACAGAATAAAATCTTCTAGGAGGATTAAAGACGTGCAAGATGTTTTCAGAGAAGGCACAATTTCCTTCTAAATCAGACTGTAGTGGCTGTTATACATACTTTTAGTAGTCTCCAAACGATAAGCCTCACCTTAGTCCAAACTACAGACTTTCATCTGTTATTACATTTCAAAAGACTATGCAGGTGTCTTGGCAGCTACCATGACTCTGCCTGACATTTTCTTTATTATCATGACTAACGAGTTGGACAAAGTCTGCATTTATCACTCAGCATGAAATCAAAAGGCTGGAACATAAAACTATTTCCTAGAGCCCAGGCATCTGGACAAAACGCAAAGCCAGGCAGAAAGGTCACAAAAACTACTGTTTATCAGCGATGCTGTTTTAGAGATTTCCTAGCAGCAACAG